TTTATTTATATTTTTTAGTGACATTATTTATAAATTTGATTTCAATATCTAAATGTTTGATTTAGTTATGACAATGACGCCTCCATCTTGTGTTTCATCCGATTTTCGAATTTTAGGATATTTAGGTTCGGAAAAATTTATTCATTTTTCGCCAAGATATATTAAATATTTTCCAACAAAAATTGATCATACATTAAATATGATATAAATAAAATAATTAATTATATGGTATTTAATCACTTCTATAAAATATTTAGTCATGGATGCCTGTATATTTTTTTTTTGATTTTCAGAATTCAATCCTCGTTTTAAAACAAAATAAAATAAATTACTTGAATTTTCAAATAATTTAATTTTTAATATACATTTCGTTCAATTAATAAAGACAATCTCATTTCCAGGTTTTATCAATTTCTTTATAATTGTAGGGATACCTTCCAAAGATCTCCCTGGAAATTGAAACATTGTTCCGTAGGTATAATAAAAACTGCTTAAAGTTTAATTTATAACAACACTTTAACGAATCCACTGTACAAATTATTTTCGAATGAAGTTTATATTGAATAAGAATGTATTCTTGTGTATAACACATATTTTCGTCGAACAGCACTTTTTTCTTAATGATACAAATATATATTTTATTTTACTATAATAAAAGGCTATTTTATGATTTATGACTAAACCTATAATGCATATATTTAAAAAATAACTCAAATAACATGAAAAATTAGTATACTACAAGGGTCATGATTTAAGTTATATTTGGTTGATTAACATACATATTTTGTTCTTTTGTACCACAATTTGCATACAATTTATTCGTCTTTAAACGAAGTTTAACGCCTGTATTCAACGTTACATATATAGTATCGGCCTGCTGCATTAAAACTGTTTGTCCGAATCCAATCTCCTTGGGTTTCTATAGCTATATCGACTGAAATGTGAACACATTTTTTTTCACTACAATATTTCGCTCTGGTCCTTATTTTTTTATTGGTGCGTTAATTATTTTCATGTGACTTTGAGAAATCGAACAGAGCATAGGTTCAATCCAGAATCTATCATTTCCTCTAATGCATGGCCATACTTTAAGAAGATTTTCCTGGAAATTGTAGAACTTGTTACGTATAGTAAAGATTGCTTTAAAGTTTAATGTATAACAAAACTTTAACGAACCAATTGCACAAATAATTTTCTAATGACGTTCTTTCGATATTATGTTAAGTAATTATAATTATAATAATTGAATTTTATTTTATTTTCATTAGTTATAATAACTGTTTATAGGTACTTATTACTTTAATCGGATTGTTAAGCCATGTCATAATTTTATAATACATTTTTGGAAACGAACGAAGAAAAAATAGACGTTTCTTTATTTTAACTGGCAATTTTTTTTATTATAATTTCAAAATTTTAAGGCACACAGTTGTACCAACAGAAAGATCAATTTTATTTTTTATAACGGTAACAACTAAATATTGTTTAATGGGTTCTAGTTATAATAATACAATTAATAATAGTTATTGATTATTTATTTTTAACATTAAAAAGTTCTCTTTTAGACATTTAGTGCTATAAAACGTTTCATTTAATAATAATTGACGCCTATATTTTTGTAACAAATAATAATAATATTGTAATAAAATTGTAGCAATTTTTTTCACATATTATGTGTGATAAAATTTAAAAAAAAATGTTCCGAGCGCGATACTTGGTGGCTGTTTCACCGTAAACGAAATGCATTCAGCGAGCAAATATTGACATAATGTTATAATGGTTATTAAATTATTTTATAATAATTATTTATGTGAATTGATTAAAGATAGATTGATACCATAATGTCATAAAATATTATGTAAACGCTGCAATTCACAGAAAGGAATATCCACGGGTCATAATAAACACAGTGAGGGTTGTAGGGTTTAGAGGTACAGCTATAAATTCGGATTTATAATGTAGCAGATGACGCTGTTATTGTGGTTTGATTCGGTTTTCGGTATTAATTTAATAACGATGGTCATCTGTGGACGTGAGTCATTTCCATGTGTGATGCGCGGGTTGAAAACTTATTCCGGAAACAAGAGTAATAATCTGATAGGATCATTTTCTGGGCCGATTACCGTTGTGTGATTTCGCCAATGTAACAATTTATGCATATACTTTTGCAAGTGACGAACGCTGTGAATAATTACTAATAGTGAAGTGTGAAGGGACCGAGGGGAGTGTCGGTGATTGTCAAGAACGAGTCGAAGTGTAGTAGTATAGCCGCGTATAACAATGTGATGAGTTCAAGAATGAGTAGATCATTAAAATGTTATTACTCATAAGTTAATGTAAGTATTTGCTTAATAATAATGTGATTATGTGCGGATGCGTGCAGGTGCCAGGTTATATGATTAAGATAACCTGTGTCTATATAGCTAGCGCACCAAAGATACTATTCTAACACTGTTAGGTAGTATCCTAGGACTCATCAAATGAAGGAAACTACTAAACGTCAACAAAAGGAACCGCGTGTAGACAATGCACATATAAATTGTTTCCGTTCTATGGTATCTCGCAGAGAGTCTAATTACCCAGATGGCTTACCATGTTTAAGCAATCATCATTTGATTTTTTTTCTAGTAGTTTCGACCTAAACGTAAAGCCGTATTTACAGCTACGTCGTGTGTCGTGTCGTGTCGATCAAATCGCATTGTGATTGGACATTTAATTGGCTTAACTTTTAAACCATATTGGTTAAGAGTTGTAACCATAATAACTATACCATCGCACGACACGACGAACGACGTAGCTGTGAATCCGGCTTGAGGAAAATTATTAAAAATAATTTCTCAAATTTTTGTCCTATTATATAACTAACCCTTTTAAAGCTTTTAACTGAAATTATAATTTATAATGATAACTGTAAAATACTAATAATAATATGATTATTAGTATTTTCAATGATTTATCCTATTGATCAGTAACCACGAAATACTTCATTTTTAAAACTAAAAATTGTAGGTATAGGTATAAATAAAATAATCCTAATATTTTTTAATTAAAAAAGTAATTTTCGAGTTTTTTTTTAAATTATATTATTTTCAGTATCACTGAATCAACTTAACCCAATACAAAAAAAACTTGGCACAAATTCTAATACTAGCAATATTTTTATGACAAAGTATTGTCTGTATTTTAGTTCAGTTACGATACTATTTCACAAAAGGACTAGATGGTATTAATATTGTTCAAATACTTTGATTTGGTATCAACGACTGTTATGGTAAAGCTATACTTTATAAATATACCAATACAATAATTTTAAACCCTTGGGCAATCGAGTTGAATAGACGAGATGATAAAGGAACTTATATATACCCGAGAGGATTTATATTTTCAGTTTATTTAAAGTATTTTCAAAGTTTATTAGGCACATTGTTTAAATATCTTCGTGAGAGACAATATTATTGCTATTGAATTCATAATGAATTGAAAAAGTGAATTTGCCTCTGGAACAAAACATTTAATTGCATAAAATTAATTTGAATAATGCATTTTTGTAACGTAATGCACGTTATTAATCAATTAAAAATGTATTGGATAAATTAATTTTACCTCAATGATTTTTTTAACTCTATGTACAATTTACAGGTCAACAAATTTAAATTATGATAATAATTCATTTTTTAACAATAAATTATAGACTAACTACTATTACGGTAGAACTCTGAAATTATAAGCAATATTAAATTATTAATAACAATAATAATAAAAAATTATGTTCCCATCATTTTAGATTCTGAGCGGAACAAAGAATGTATTTAAAAATGCTGTCTATTTTTTTTTGCGTGTCTAAAGATATTGATATTGAGTGTGATTTCTAGTATAAAATAGGTTTATAAGAAATTTATAGTACCTACGTTTCACAATTATCTGGGGAAATAGAAAAAAGGCATTTAAGTCGGTTAGCGCTATGTTGAAAAGTAGGTGTCGATTGTACTTTGTTATTGACTAAGTCGATGTATTTAATGTGTGTGTTAAATTTGAATTCAATGATAAATCATTGAATACGGAATACCATTCAAAGCGAAGGCAGTCTATCAGCTTAATATATTATACTAAGTTTTATGATTTTATATTTATATTGCTATTAAAGTAATTTTCGTGAATTTTAAACTTGAAATTCTTATAAAAATAAATGGTGCCTATGGACCTTTGACATTTTTAAATAGCTCAAATAAAAGTTATGAGGAATCTGTATGTTAGGCAAGGTTAGCACAATAAGTGGAATGTGATAAAAGCTAAATTGGTGTGTAAATTTGTTAGTATTAAGGACCTTAAATGTTGTATAAAAGTTCTTGTATATTGTACAATTACTGTTGAAATTATATTTCAAGGAGTGGACCCGTGTTACGAAAAAAATAATATTGTTAAAAATATTATAAATGTGTAGGTACTTACTTATTTTATAAATCTTTACGTGTTTATTTAAATGCATCACAGTCAGTGTATGTGTCCTACAGCAGCCGTTTCTTGCTGCTGGCTCCGTAGACATTTAATTACACAAAAATGAATGACAATCACAGTAGGTATTCTTTGAATAAAATATGTAATTAAACAAAACCATTTTAATTTAGTTATGTGAAAAAAACAAAGGTTATACGTGAATAGGTAGTAATTGTGTACTTAAACGAAGAAAAAAATCTTGAGTACAGCATTTACCACGCACATCCAAAGAAACTTCTTCGACTTCTTCAAAATGGATTTACGTCCACCAGACCGTGGATGTTGGATTGAAGCTGCCATCGTAAATAATAAATTATATAATACTTAATACAAATATATGATTTTATAAAAATCAGATCTTGTTGCAAAAAAAAAATCAAAAAAATCAGGGATCAGGGATCTGACCGTTTTCGATGTAGACGGGTCGTTTAGATAGGCTGTTGTGTACCTCAGTTCGTTCAACAGGTTTTCAGTCTGAAATCCTTCCATTTTGTCTTTAAGCAACCTTAAATGTCTATGTTGGAAGTCTTGACGAACGCTCCGTTTGGGTGCACGTGGTCGTACAGTATGATGAGGCTGACTAATACGCGAAGCATGAAAAGGTGAGTTTCCTGTTTTCTGAACTGAACCGTAGGTGTTTCCAACATGCGTATGCACACTTTTACCATGGTACTCAACATATCAATGGCATAGTCAACGAGCCGTTTATGTTTGTTCAAAAATTGTGAAATAACATTTGACAGTGTTCTCAACATTGGCGTTGCTTCTGCGTAGAACAAGGACACTTTGTTGACAACGTACAAGTTGCTGTCAGAATCTTCATCTAGGTCCGTGAACGAATGCACTGATGCTCCTTCAAGCATCAACTACACTCGTCTGTAATAGCTAAAGTCGTTTTGAATCGCTGGAGTTATCGTCTTGTATTCATCCAACTTCAACACAAAACTCAATGATCTCGGAAATTTGTTTGACTAGAGCTTGTTGATTTTCTAAGTGTAAAGATGGGGTTATACCATCTGAACATATTTCAGTTAGAATTTAAGGTACTACGAAAGCTATTTTTTGTGAGAAAAAATAGAATCGTCTCAAAGTGCGAATTCGAGGCATCAACGCTTCCCATGTCAATGCATTTTGTTCAGCACTTGGGTATTGATCGCTGTTCGTATGTATTGGTCAGCGCCCAAGTAATGTTTGAGGTTGGAAAGCACGTCAGAGGCCTCGGTAAGCACGATTTGGACCTCGTAAAATAGTTCCATTTCACTTTCAGTAGGTTGGGCATTTTCAAAATCTAGAATATAGTATTTCTGTTGAGCAGAACAGCAACTATTTTCGTCTCTAGTTAACAGCTGGCTCAATAGTTTTTTCCATTATTGTAGACCGACAGCAGCAGGCTAAGTTCATCAACAGGTCCAGTACTAGTCAAATACTCTCGTTCCGACGTCGGCAGAATCTACAACTACTTTGATAACGACACGAAACTCCGTCACTTGAACAAAATGGTTTAGTCTAATCTACGACGTCTCCTATCGTGATTGTAAAGATTCGGTATTATTGTCTGTCTAGGCCATTTTTATTCTCTATATTATCTTTCGTCTTACGCCTGTCGACAGACACAAACACGTTATCACAGCAGCGAAACGCGACATGGACTTTATACACAGCTGCGGTCTTGCTGTATTAAATGGGTCAACATTGAAACAAAGATTCAACGTATAGTTAGGTACCTACTATCTATATTATAAATTTGTACATTTATACAATATACAGACCTCCAATTAATAATAAACAACTAAATATAAATATGACTTAAAATCATAACTCTATATGCTTCGAAAATAATTAACGAAAAATACAATGGTCAATATGCCAATATAATACTAAAGAGAGTAAATAATTATCACAAAATACTTCTTTATGTCAAACGTCGAAGATTGACTGTTGACAGTAAATGATTTTATTGTGAACAACACGTGCTGGATATTACATGACCTAATGGCCTATAAGATAAATCTGTCTAGATAATAAATAATTTATCTTATCCAGAACAAGTACTAGGTAAGTAGAGCTCCACGTCAGAATTGATATATAAGTTAGGCAATAACAATAATAGATGTTACTATAATATTCTTGAAATATTTGTGACAAAACATAGTTCAACCTACAGGAGTAAAAATAGCAAAATAAAATACTAATAGTAATATATATAAATTATAAAATATCCTTAGAAAGGGAGTCTAATCGTCTCAGTTCTGATCAGATGTTTGTAGAAAGGTGGTATATAATAATTGAATTGAAATTTAACACATCTATTGGCTGCGTACGAGTTGATTCCCGGGTACCTGTTTACCTGCACCGACACCGTTGAGTTGATTCCCGGGCCATTAGAGGGTACGTACGAGTTGATTCCCTATTGTTGTATATTAATTATCAATAGATTGCACGAGTAAAGAGTTTAGCTTTTAGCTTTCATTCTAAACTCAACAGTTGTTTGTATTTTTGTATTTATAAATGAGCTGTTAGTAGTACAATCAGAAACGTATATTAAATGCAGGAGTAATGGAACTAAGAAATCTAAAAAACAACAAGAAAAACAATTTTTTTTAAGAGAAGAGATGTCACGGTATGCTGGTAATCTCATTACCAGATACCAATTTATAAAAACAATGTGTTACAAATTTTTACCAAATTATTAAATTTTTTTTATATTTTTTTACCTAGTTACTATACTAAATGTTTTTAATAATAATTTTTTACCTAATTACTACTAAATGTTTTTAATAATAATAAATATAATATAATTCAATAGATAATTAATAAATAAAAATTGAATGATTTTCAAAATATGAAAAAACTAAAAAAAACAACATTTGTGAGAAACTTGTCAGCCAACCTCCTCGTGGTTTTTCTTGGGTTATGCTAATAGGCTGAATATTTTACTAAATATTGAATAAAATATATAATGACCTGGGAATCAACTCGTACGTACCTCTTAATGACCCGGGAATCAACTAATACATGAGAAAGGTCTCGGGAATCAACTCACCTATTGCGCATCTATTACAGTAGGTACTTAATCCATAGCGAGGTAAACTCGAAACCTACTATACAAAGCACTCTGGCTTCCCTGGTTTTTTAAATCATTTATTCTTAATGTTATTTAATATTTATGACTAGTATATATTGAGCACAATATATAATCATAAAAATACAAACATTAAAGCGAAAAATTAACTGTATATTATGGCTAACTTTTAGGGAGCATTATAAAATTATTCCGTTGTGGAAATCTAAACTTTTTTTGGTGAGATTTATAAGTGAACAATTTATGAAACATTAATACTATATACATGTACGTTGCACGTTATACATTTTCATTTTGTAGTGATTTGAAATTAAATTGTAACTTAAAACTTATTCCTTTGTTATGAGTAAAATACAATGTGAATCACTGAATGGTAAAGTTATATTAACAGTACAAAATAATATAACCGTTGCCCAAGCTTCGTATGTTTTGCCATGGGATTATTATCATATGGTAATACTAGTTTTAAATTCTATTTTATGGAAACATTTATACAACGGACTGCCAAATATGATTTCATTAGTTAATTCATTTTAATATCTAATAAATAGTTTTTTAACATTAGCCCAATGTAGGATGGTGGCTCTAGGTTCAACCGTTGTCACTTATTTCAATATGACAGTCGATAAGAGAATGGCTCACGGGATAGAAAAAACATGCGTTATTAACTAGGGTGGGTGTCGAGCATAGACATATTAATATGTCTATGGTGTCGAGTGACCATTAACATGTTAAATTTTTAAGCAGCCTATTGTGACATATACCTTCATTCGGCACAGATAATATGCTTATAAAGTGGGGCATTAATATATTATACATATTCGTACCTAAACTTTATATTAAATAGATAGGTAACTATAGCAAGTGCATTAACTGCACTTTTTTCTGATTATCAGATTTGAGTCGGCATAATTATTATTAGTGTCATAAAAATTAATACACTGTGGAGTTTAGACTACAAATATAGTGAAAAGCTGGCTATATTTGTATAGGGATGAATACAACAATTAGAAATTTTAGAAAATTCTATATTATCAGGAATTGTGAATGAATAGAGGATACATTTTATATTATGTTACATAACAATATTTTTTCCAAAATTAACGAAATATGTTATCTCTTGATTGTTATTAATAACTATATCGATGGCGTAGCGCACAAGTGTGATAAGTGAAATTTTTTTGAAAAATGAGTTAAGTGCATAATCAATTTAATCATACAATTCTGCACATTATGCCCAAACGTTGTAAGTGAATAGTTCATTATTTACTCCGATAGACGTCGTACAGTTCGTTACATTTTTGAATTTGTTATGACATCTCAAACTTAAAAATCGTTCTCCTGAACAATTACGAAAATGTCACTTATCACACTTGTGCGCTACGCCATCGATATTACCTTTCAGATTTATCTTGACTTAATGTCTACAGGTATTGCAATTCGCTACCCTCGTAGTAAAATAAAGTAACATAAAATATTTACCAGGTATATTAATAATTCATCTTAGACATTTTGCACATAGTTTTTTATTGAAACTTAAACGTTTGATGACTAAATGAATAAAATATGGCACAGATTCATTCAAACATGTGTCACGTTCGTCTTAAAACGTTTTAATGTTCAACGAGCGCAAGTTGTCGTGAGACATTAAAAGGATAAGTGTGCATTTCACATAATATAAAGTATAATAACGTAGTATGCACTATAATTTATTCGGAATTATTTGTTACTTTCGCCATCGATTTACTCGCAGTGTGATTTTTTTTTTTTTTTAAACGTTTAGTTTACGGTGACTTATAATAGGTATATGACGAATGCACTTTATTGTACGTGTGCCTGCGTATAAATAACAATGGTGACTTTTTCATATTTCTCCAAAAACACTTAGCACGTCATGTAATTAAATGTTCCTTTTAGGTATGATTTAATGTACAGGAAAGTAGGCAATAATTGATAGCTCTGTGCATTTGAGTCATAAAGACTTTGAACCTTTACTACTTCTTTTTGCTATAGCCTGTAGAGGTTAATGGAACTATAAAAACTTTTAGAGACTGATCGTTTTTTTTTGAATTTTTTTTTTGTTGTGAGCTGATATGACAAAAAGTTGTTTTCGAACACATTAAAAATTTGAACAAGAAATCCTTAAAACTTTGTGGGCTTGAAAAACTGTATTAGATATTGCCGATTTTGTATACCTTTCAAAACGAGTAGGTATATGCCACAAATTCGGTTTTTGTACATGCTTATATATGATTATTAGTTTTATTATTATTGTCAATGGATTTCTGCTGTTTGTTCGTTCGACAAGAAGAACACTCCATCATCATCATCATCATCATCATCATCATCATCATCATCATCGTCGTCGGGTAGAGTGGAAATATATATCACAGGAATGAAGCTCATTTGCAGGGTGAATAGAAGAATTTTGGAGAGCAAACTAATAACTAAAATCGATGTTCTATATATAAATATTATGCACACGCTATAAACGTGTACGTATGTTTAATAATACTTTATGTGCAGCTCCACCTTTCTACTATCTATGTTATAAAAGTACTTAGGTAAACATAATTTTAAAAGTGACATTTATTATGGTCCAATGCCACTATACCCACTGTTGTTTGTTGATAATAATTTTAATAAATTGTTATAAACTGTAGTTACATAATTACATTAGTACATTTTGTTGTTTCTAGTTTGAAATTATTAAGCAAAAAGGTTTTTGCTAAGAACTAAGAAGTTTGAAAAATTAAAACATATTTTACGTTATTTATTGAT